TGTCGATAGTCAAATATTACACGAGCTTAGTAGAGAAAAAAAATAGTACGTCAAGGGGTTAACGGTAGGAAATGATAAGGTGCCCAACTGTTCGCGGCGAACTTCGCCGGCCGGCAGGCCTGCTCGCATGGTTCTCGCCGTGAACTGCGCACGTTAATCCTCGGTGGTAGTTGACGCGCAGGAATACCTGGCTAGTGGACACAGCTAGATCCGAGAAATTCGTTCTTAGATAACGAGGGGATCGGACCCCGATCCCGGCTAGTCTATAACGGGCGAACAACCCTCGCATTTAGAGATAACTCCACTTAATTAACGTATTGACTGCGCGTTAATTAATAAACGCCACTCCCATCCGGTAGTCCGTGGTCCCTATTTCCACGATAACGTAACGAGTTTCTCTGTCTCCCTCCCCCGATCATCTCCCGGCTCACCCTCCGACGGTCCGTCGATGTTAATGCCGATGCCGATGACGTTACGTTATACATCGTGTTTACTTTGAGCGGTGAATACGATTGCGTAACAATTAGTGAACCGTTTCGACGCCCACAACTATCCACTTCGAGACGCGACGCATCGGCTGGCATACGAAACGACGTTGCGATTAGTCTAGGCCAACGCCGGCCGACCGTTGTCTACGTCCAGTCGAGAATATAATATTCTTCGCCGCGACCGACGCGATGTTAACACTAGAACTACCAAATGGGTCGAGACGACCCATTTCATGACACTTCTTTCGCAATCATGGAAAAGGCACTGAGAAGTTTTTCAATAAATTGATTTAGATGAAGACAAACTAGAATATAAGCAGATACAGAACTCGATAAATGTATTTTTATACGTTCTAGAAGGAAATATAGAAGAATCAATTTCACCGATCGGTAGTTCTGGTGTTAACCACTTGCGCTGGAAATTAATTCAGAGGTTTGGCAAGGTCTCGCGCGATGAACTTTCTTTTTATCTATTTTACGCATTTCCAAAAATGAGACAGTCTTATGGCTTTTTTGACAAATGTCCTCGGCTTTCGGAAACAATGAGTTTTAACTCTTGTGATCGGTACTGCCACAGTGGCGACATTTAACATTTGTTTTCGAAATCGAGAGGTATTGTATTTATTATTCTTTTCAAAATTTATATTCAACAAAACACATTAACTTTAATAAATTTTTAATATCCATATATTTGTTATAAACCATCTATGGAAAAATAACTTTGAGAATATATATATAATAAATATAATATAATATGAATAATAATAAAATACAAGTTATTTCGAAATTATAATTCAGATGAAGGAAAACGGAGAAAAGCAGAATCCCAAGCATGAAGATTCGAAACTTACAACCCCCGGCATACCCGTGTTACCGTCTTATTACAATACTATAGAAACGTAAAACTCATTTTTCTCGAAAACGGAGGACCATTGTCAAAAAAGCCACGAGGGTTCATCTCTATATGCACCGTGACACGCATAGGGTTTCATCCAAAAACAGACTTTTACGTTCGGCTCTCTCCTTGTAAGTAATAGCTTGTCCCAGTTGCCAGCTACACTATGCAGAGCCTCGAATCGTAGCGCATCTTTTGCGAAATTGGCGGTATCGCAACAGCCGAGTGATACCCAATTGTTCTTTTCGGAACCTGTCCACCTCGTCTAAACCTCGCTCCCCTCGCTGCACCCCAGCCGGCCGGCGTTCACCATTTCTAACTTTCTCTGTCTCTCCCTGCCGGTGTCTCGTTCCCGTTTCTTTTCTTCTCTTTGTCAACCGGTGGCCGAGCAATTTCGTGGCAAGGCCGCGCCGCGCCGCGCTTTCGTAAACGCGCCGTTCGCCGCTGGCGAATAACCTCCGCGAACGATCTATCGGTTTCAGTGTAACCTACCAGCCTTTCTTCTCGTTTTTCTGACTCGTTCTTTTTCCCCAGGTTCCCGCATCTCGTTTTTTGTCCTGTTTCTTCGAGCGGCACGCTCCCGTGGCGGCTGTGTTTTGACGCGGCGTTGATCGATGAAGAAAAAGGGAGGACGAAGGAGAGAAAAAAAAAGCCACGGAGATCCGGCTCGCGATCGCGAACGACGGCGACGCCCAAATCCGGAAGACCTTGGCCTGTCCTGTCACGACGAGGGCCGCGCGGATACGTTGGCCAGTTTCTTTTTCGGGACCGGCGCGCGCCACGGCCGCCTATAAAAGAACACGGCATCCTCGAGTTCCGGATCAGTGGAGGTTTATTAGGGCACCGAGTCATATCGCTCCTCGCGCCTCGTCCTCGGACGTTGCCTCTCTGTCGGTCGTTGGTCCACTCCGGGGCTTCTAGAACTTCACCGCTAAGCGCGACCCCCTTTAGAGTCTACGTAAGTACTGTCCACCGACGATATCTTTTCACTTCTATGAACTGAAGGGGTAAGCGCGGCAAGGGTACATGGAGCACAGTTTGACAAAGTCGGAGAATAAGTATAATGAGAAGAAGTGAGACAGACAGTCCTTAAAGATTGTAAATAGCGCGATCGTTACATTTTTCCATTTATAAGCGGGTAAAAGAGAAGTAAAGATAAATAATTGAAAGGAAGACAAATAAATAAAGTTAAAATTTGATACTTTATTTATTTGTCTTCCTTTCAGTTTTAAAAAAAGTTAAGGTTTGATACTTTTAGAGAGTGTACGGAGAAGTGCAATCGCCGCTTGCCACTCAAACGGTTAAGGAAATGAACCTTTAATTCTGTTAATTACTAACTCGGTAAAACTAGTCCTATTTACATCGTGTTTGGACTTGTTTCAATCACAACAATCTCAACGATTCACTAGTACTACGTTTAAGGAGAGTAAGACTGAAATTTTGAAACTTCGTCAAACTGTGCTCCGTGTTCTCTTGCAGTACTTGCCCCTTCAGTTCGTTGGAGATGCGAAAAGGTACGGTGGACAGTACTTCCGCCACCCTATGTAGAGGCGCGCAAGCTAGGAATACGAATTGAAACGTTTACTGGCGATAAATCATAAACCTCGTGGACACGCTGTACACGTAGCGTTGCCAAACTGGTTTTGAGTCGACTCCTTGCACGTCAATCATTCAGCTCTGCTAACATATCTGCGACTCCCGAAGTTAGTTGCGCGACTCACACGTTGAGAAGACTGGCTCTAGGTTTGCTAGTAGCTAGAATTCCTCTGAGAGTTAGATTCCTCGCGTTCTGAAGGTTTCAGTCGGTTTTGCTACCCTAGCTGAACGAACCGGTTGTAAAGTGACGCTGCGATTTCGCGGTTATTCTTATTCATTCGTCCCTGGCAGAGCTGTTATCGTACTCTGTACAGTCCCAGAACTATAGGGAAAAACACGAGGTTCCGTTCTACAGTCTTTTTTCTCGATCTTTTTGCTGGGACCGCGTTCGTTCCAGTACGCGGATTTCCCTGGAACACGCCCGTCCCCGGGAACCTTGGAAACCCGAGCGCGAGATCTGCGAGGAGCACAATAGGCAGAGCCCCGATCGGCGCTAATCGAGAATTAAAACTATTGTTTCTATCATGAGAACGATCGCGATATCCTTGGGATATCGTTTCCGTCGATGCAGACCCGCGTTTCGCGTGTCTACGATCTTGCCGGTTCACGCCCCATCCAGAGTCAACGCCGTCGGGGAGACCACGGTCGTTCGAACGTGGAACGTGTCACGGTTAGAGAAGGAATCGCGAATCACGTCTAGCGTAACGACGCCGTCGACCGTCTCCTCTTCGTTCCGACCGAGGATCAATGAAACGAAAGAATGTTAACCCTTCGAGGACAAGCGTCGTCGTGTCGGCGACATTGGCGCTTAACATTGCCAGTTGTAGACAAGAAATTTAATTAAGCAACGAAAGATTAACCCCTTGATTTCTTTCTCAATTCCGACCGATACCACTACTTCGTGATTAATAATTCATTCGAAAAAGAGAACAATCGTAGGCAAGAAATTCAATTAACGCATTGTGCGCCGGCTCCGAGATAATGCGGGATTTTTAGTCTATCGTTTAATTGTTAGTTCTATATTAATGTAACATTTTATATATGCATAACGCAAATTCAAAAATCGAATTACTTATTCTTTTTCGTAAATTACAAATTTCGGTTTGATGTTTAAGGATATATCAATATAATCACCGACGCTCGCGTTTCTAGTAGCTGAAATTCAGCCGGCGTACAATGTGTCAAACGAAAGGATTTCGATTGATACGACGACTCTGTGCTTAATAATTCATTCGAAAAAGAGAAAAATCGTAGGCCATGTTCGCTCTTAAATATACTAATTGATTACAAAAGAATATTTACTTCGAATCCAAATGAATCGAGTAATATTTATGTTTGTTAAACCACGTTAGAAATCTTCACCTTACGTTGTTACAAAGCAAGGGGTTAATTCATAGTATCTTCTCCTAATATTTGGAGAAACTTCTCAATGTTCGAGAAAGTCGTCGCCCCGAAGGGTCAAGAGCAGAAGTTTCCAAAAGTTGTCTCTCATAATTATTCGTCGCGATGGAGATAAGTTGGAAACCGTTGATCCGAGAGATATAAATAAACTGTCTCACGTTCGTTGTCTCGATCGAGGAGTCATCAATATGCTTTTTATGATTGCCCGACAGGTATTAATTGAAACAGGTTTCGTCGTCGTGTATCGCATAGTTTTATTGCGACAAGCGTCGAGAGATGAGAACACAACAAAGAACCAAGTTTGTATTAACTCCGCAACGGCCGCGCTGAAAGTTGAACGCTGCTGAAACGGCTAACGATATAAGTAGCAGGGACTCGACGAGAACGTCGTTGGTGCCACGCGTGAACGCAGGAGCGCGAAGGACTTGTATAATTCAAGGTACTACTTGTATACTCGCGCACGTGCGTACACGAGCAATAATATTGATCGATGAAAGGTGTATCACGAGGAAAAATGAAACGATGGAATGGAACAGAGGAGGCGAGGGAGATCACGATGACGATGACGATGTCCAGCCGCCGGGTTCGCGTGAGATTTGCGCTGGACCGGCCGGTCTTTGCTAGTTTTCACCCTCGCCTTCCTCTTCCTCGTCGAATTCTCCCTCCTCCTCGGCGGTGGCATCCTGATACTGCTGGTACTCCGACACCAGGTCGTTCATGTTGCTCTCGGCCTCGGTGAACTCCATTTCGTCCATACCCTCACCCGTGTACCAGTGGAGGAACGCTTTCCGCCTGAACATCGCCGTGAACTGCTCCGATACTCTCTTGAACAGCTCCTAAAATAGCAACCGGTTCTTTTACAGGAGGAACCGTTAGACTCTGATCCGAACTAGTCTTTAACCTTTTACCTACGGCAGGATTAACACGTTGAATGCCATAGGGTCACCGGTGACCTTCAATCAAATCGAATTACTATAGTCCACTCAATTAAACCATGCTTATTTGAAAACATTTCTATATTATAAATAATGCTAATTAATGCGGTGACATTCAGATAGATGATCTTGCAATAACAATGCAATGTAATCAGATGATTTAATATTATAGTTTTTCCATTTCGAGTATTTTTTATGAAATCATGCGACGTTCAACGTGTTAACCGTGAAACTAAAGCTCTGTACCGCAAAGTTTGACGCGGTCTGCATACGAGTCGCTCAGAAGCTAATACAATAAATGCGTGGCCGGCAAAGTGTTAACCCTTTGCACTCGAGAGGCGACTCTGAATCGCCATTTGATTCAGCATAGGAAATTATAAAATTGGAAACTTGACATGGAAAGATGATGGCAGCACATGAAACAGAAATAAAACAATTGTGCCCCTAAATTTGTGCAAGATGTTTCTTCATAGAAGTTCCAAATAGTACTGTTAATATTCCATCAGAAAATAATGAACGTTCGTACTGGAAAATATTGTTGAGTGCAAAGTGTTAAGAACGTCGTATACGCAAGGTATCCCTACCAGCAATCATAAGCCCCTTTGTGTCTTCGTTCTCTACAACCCAATATTCATTTCTGTCTATCTTTCAGCAAACCGAGAGTCAGCCGAAGTCCCGAAAGATCTACTTCGAGTTTCCATCGAAAGGATTACCTGGATAGCCGTCGAGTTCCCGATGAACGTCGCCGACATCTTCAATCCCCGTGGCGGGATGTCGCACACCGCCGTCTTCACGTTGCTGGGTATCCACTCGACGAAGTAGCTGCTGTTCTTGTTCTGTATGTTGAGCATCTGCTCGTCCACCTCCTTCATGGACATCCTACCGCGGAAAACCGCGGCGACGGTCAGGTAACGTCCGTGACGGGGGTCGCAGGCTGCCATCATGTTCTTCGCGTCGAACATTTGCTGCGTCAGCTCTGGCACCGTCAGAGCCCTGTACTGCTGCGAACCCCTGCGCAAACATTCCTCGACGCTTGATCGCGAAGCTCTTCGCTAGGTGTCTACTGTATGACTCATATTTCATGTTTTTTCCGTATCAGACCTGGACGACAGAGGCGCGAAACCAGGGATGAAGAAGTGGAGCCGAGGGAACGGTACCATGTTGACGGCGAGCTTACGCAGATCGGCGTTCAATTGTCCAGGGAACCTGAGGCACGTGGTCACGCCGCTCAGCGTAGCGCTCACCAAATGATTCAGGTCGCCGTAGGTCGGCGTGGTCAGCTTCAGCGTGCGGAAGCATATGTCGTAGAGAGCTTCGTTGTCGATGCAGTAGGATTCATCGGTGTTCTCGACCAACTGATGCACCGACAGGGTGCAGTTGTACGGCTCGACGACCGTGTCCGACACCTAGCACGCGCGACACGATGGAAAGAACGATGTGATCGGAATACGACTCAATCCGGGAGCTGATGGACTTATGCTGTCCACGGACGATAGCTTTTCACATCTGTAACAGACTGCAGAAGCAACTGCTGCAAGGAGACATGGATTCTTTAAGAATAGTTTGATACAGTCGGAGATTGAGTATAATACAGCGGTTTTCAACATTTATGCTACTACGCTTCCCTACAAATTTTTTTTCCGCGTCTCCCTGTCTTTTAATAGATATGATAATATAGATGTCTCTTAAATAATAATAGCTTTATTAGAAAATAAACATTACTTCATTGAATTTATACTGTTACGTTACGATATGAAGTTTATTTCTTTGTAGATGTTATGGTATGAACATTAATTTTTCTTAAAAATTTTGGCGCCTCCCTTGGCATCAAAGCGATGCCGAACGCGTCAAATATGCAATAAAACAAATATCAATGTCAGTAGTTTTATTTACATCGTGTTTGGGCTTATTTCAATCACAACAATCTCAACAATCCACTAGTACTATGTTTGAGAAAGTAAAATTGAAATTAATGAAACTGATATTTCCTTTATTGTATGTTTACATTTGACGCGTGCTACACCGCTTTGAGGTCTCGCATCTCGTGTCTGATTCACTTCTCATTACACTCTTTCCCCGACTTTGTCAAACTGTGCTCCATGTCCCCTCGTACTTACTCCTTCAGTTCGTCGGAGACGTGAAAAGGTATCGTTTGTGGACAGTAGATGACGACACGTTGTTTCAGTAGATACCTTGGGAGAGGGGACTACGCTGAACGTCATCATGATCCTATCCGGGTACTCTTCGCGTATCTTCGAGATCAACAACGTCCCCATACCGGCCCCCGTTCCGCCGCCAAGGGAATGGGTCAGCTGGAATCCCTGCAAACAGTCGCAGCTTTCCGCTTCCTTGCGTACAACGTCCAGGACAGAGTCGACCAGCTCCGCGCCTTCTGTGTAATGTCCTTTGGCCCAATTATTCCCGGCGCCGCTCTGACCGAACACGAAATTGTCCGGCCGAAATATCTGGCCGAACGGCCCGGACCGGACCGCGTCCATGGTGCCAGGTTCTAGGTCGACCAGAATCGCTCGCGGCACGTACTTTCCCCCGGACGCCTCGTTGTAGTAAACGTTTATACGCTCCAGTTGGAGATCGGAGTCACCGTGATAAGTCCCGGTCGGATCGATTCCATGCTCGTCGGAGATCACCTCCCAAAACTGTACGATCAGCGGATCGATGGGGATTTTAATAGAATTTAGAATTTAACACTAACTACCGAGCATTTGATACGGTTAACACATTGAATACCGAATGATTTTATAGAGCAAAATGCACAAAAGGGAAAAAATATAATATTAAACCATTTGACTGAATTGGATTACTATCATTGCACATTCATCAGACTGAATGTCACCGCAATGGGTAGCATCATTTATAATACAGAAATTTTTGGAAATAATCATCGTTTAATTGAGTGAATTATAGTACTTCGATTTGCCTGGGGGTCACCGGTGACCCCCATGGCATTCAATTTGTTAACACTAGAATTACTGGATTGGTCAAAATGACTCATTCCTGATTACATTTTTCTCAGTTATTCAACAGTTAACACAATGAATGCCATGGGGGTCACCGGTGACCCCCAGGCAAATTGAATTACTATGGTTCATTCAATTGAAAGACGATTGTTTGACAATATTTCTATATTATAAACAATGCTACCAAATGAGGTGACATTGAGCAAGATTAGGTGAAATAATAACAATGCAATTCAATCAAATGATTTAATATTATATTTATTCCATTTTGTGTATTTTGCTCTATGAAATTGTGCAGCGTTCAATGTGTTAACAGATGCTTCTCTGAAAAAGTACTAAAGAAATTGATTTAGCAATAAACAGATTAAATTGCAAACCAAGTGAAGTTTCAATAGTTGTACTGTTGGGGTTTCTATAGAACAATTTCAAAAAGACAATTTAACTGCTCGGTAGTTCTAGTGTTAACATGTAACCCCTATAAAAATTGCAACAATAGATTATTTTCAGTTTCGTTAGACACTGATTACAGTATTAAGGAGAAACTATTTATTTTCAAGATCATTTCGAATGTTCCATATGTTCAAGATATCGATAATTAGGAAACAAACAAATAAAAACTAGTCATTTCGACTGGTGGTTCTAGTGTCAACCGTTTGAGTGCCACTAATCTTTCCAAAAACCCGGTCGGAAATGCCAAGCAGCGCGACTGTGCTTCTTTCGTTTCAGATCGGAAACTGAAAGACGCTTTTCTATTTTCATATAAAAAAATCCTAAATAACACAATCGTTCTATTTTTCCATTTCTAAGCAGGCAGCAACAAAACTAAATAATTAGAAGGAAGATGAATAAATAAACTTCATTTGATTGTACCAACCGATACGCTGGCACTTTTAGGCAGTATACCGAAGAAGCGCGATCGCGCTGCTTGCCACTCAAACGGTTATCCCTTTGTACTCGGAAGCTTTTCACTAGAAACATTCGACACTTTCCAATGATACTATTGATATGAACTAATGAGAAAACACACGTGAATTAACACATTGCGTACTGGTAACGAGAAATCTCGTTTTTATATAAAGACACTTAGCTATACAACTCCGCTAATTACCACAGCATCGAAAAAATGATAAAATTTCATTCGACTCGATTATCTATTTAAAATATATTACATAACTATATGATATCTGAGTTTTTCTATGTATAGTGATATAAGTTGACTTCAGTGAAAATTGCCATCCGTACAATTCAGTTTTCTGAAAATTAGCCGGTACGCAATGTGTTAAGAAACAAAGCTATTTTATATAAATATTACACATTGATGCATTACACAAAACTTAATATTATATAGAACACTATATAATTTTGTTGTGTCAAATCAAACGGTGACTGAGAGACCTCTCAAGAGCAAAGGGTTAATAACATCATCGGATACTATACCTTCGCCCCTATTTGATTGCCGCACTGGCCAGCTTGTAGATGCGCTATCTCACGCATTTTCGCTGCCGTTCGCTTCTGTGACTGCTTAAACGACACTCGATTCTTCTAGCGACGCTGCAAACACCTACTTCTTCGCGGATAGATCTCGATCCAGATGTTTTTTCCTGTTGGATTCCTCCCGGTGAGAAACGGACGTGAAGTTAATGCGAAACGAGGCGACTGTCCCGAGCGTACGCACGAAAACGGAAAGGTTCGGCCTCGGCAACACCGATCAACGACTCGTCGTTTGTTCTCCGGTTGCCATGGATCTTTTGTTTCACGCGATCGGTTCAGTGAACCGCCGCCGCTCCTAGAGGTCATTCCGCCTTCAGCTTCTTTTTATTGTAACTGCGTGTCTGGTTGGAGCTGCGATCCAAATTGCCGTCATTCCGACCAATCATCTTAATTTTTTTACTCTTATTCGCAATCTTTCCTCGCTGACGCGGACGTTATTCGTATTTCCGTATTCTTCTGTCTACGTTAACCCGTTGCACTCGAAAGTTTCTTATCGGAAGTGTATTTTTAACTATGTAGTCGCCTCTCGGGAGCAATCGGTTAATAGAATCTTTAATTTTAATCTTTAATTTTAATCTTTAATTTTAATCTTTATTTAATAATTTAACCTTTCGAGTGTTCCACGCGTTTCTTAGCATTCTAATGAAATCGAGGAATTACGATTACAATTGAATTGCAACTTCATTGATTGAATTAATTGCAAAGTCATTAAAACTGAAGATAATCTATTGCCATAGTTTTTATAAGAATTATATATCAATAATATTAAATGCTAATTCTAGTGTTGACAAAGTTGTTTTGTCGTATACAGTTACCCTTAACGGATCAATGTCACCATATAAGCATGGCACTTTTACTGATTGGGTCCAATGTCGCGTATATGCAACAATCATTTCATTACTTTTATCACTGTAACAGTTGTAATATTTACAAGTAACACATTAAGTAGTGTTCTGTGAATTTGTTTCCACTCGTTATCTATGTTACAGTATCTTTTGGCAAACTTGAAACACTTCCGGTACGTTAAGGGTTAACAACTAAATCATAAGGCAACGGACTGACACTATGTCTGCCAAAGGTGCCAAAAGATACCTGAAATTTTAACTTATAATTATTTTCCAAGCTAAGTCGTATATTCTGAATTGACTTTTCGACTCCCCAATAACAATTATAAGATTAACCATATAAAATGCTCAAAATTCAATTCAGGAAAAATCATTGAACTGAGAAAATAATTGTAATCGAAAACTTCGAAAGTCTTTTGACAGCTCCGGAAGAAATAGTCTTAACACGTTGACTGCCACGAAAACCTTCAGCATTTTATGTATCACTTCTTTCGTAGCTAAGATGAAGACGAACAGTTACTTATCATTTGGTATCGCAATGCGTATGTTACACTGTTATCTAGTAACGCTATAAGGTATTTCCATTCGACGTTATCTGCCAAATTATAATTATTGCCAAGTAATTTGCAAGCTCCGGTCACCAGTGACCGACGCAGCAGTCAAGGTATCAAGCAACGAAGGGTATACGGTAACAACGCTAAACCAACGTATTAAGAGAGACAAAGAATTTCTTTATTACAATCTGATGCTGTAAAATCTACATAGAAGGTGTTGCCAATTCGACGAGGTGTAAAGAGAAACGACCGGTGGAACATCCCGCGGCGTAGCCGGTGAACGGGCGACGGGAACGTTTCGATCGAAGGTTAATCGATCGTTCCACGACCGAGGTGACGGTCGGTCTCCGGGCAGCGTAACCGGATGTTCCACGATCGTCGGCGTTCCAGAGGTAACGGGCTAAGGTTCGCACGACGCTCAGCGTCTGCCGGCGATCAGCGCCGCGGCCGGGTAACTGGAGTAGGCATAGGAGGCGACCGGGGCGATGGGGGCAGCGGCATGGGCGACCACAGGGCTGGCGATGTAAGGTGCAGCGATCGCGTGGTTGATCGCGTGGGCGTTGTAGCTGCTAGCGTACGTTCCGACCGTGAGGGCAGCTGGGACAGGAGCCGCAACCGCGGCTGGGACCGCTGCTGGTATCAAACCGGCGGAGCAAGCGGCGATCAGACCGGCGAAGATGATCTGTTGAATAAGAGTAGATAGAATATATTACAATGATAGAAAAATGAGGATGTGTGTAGGCAATGAAATATTCGTTAGGGTTATGTTAGAATAGTGCGAGATTTAGAAGGAATTGGATGTAGAGGCTTGACAACGTTCTTTTTTAAATTTGTACGTTGCATATGTCTTCAGATAAATATGGAATGTATTGGAACTAAAGTTTGGAAGGAGTTGAAGAGTATCGGTTTGTTATTGGTTAGAGATTTGTATATTGTATATGGCTTCAGAAGATAAATGTGGAACATAATATTATTAATATTGGAATTAAAGTTTGGAAGGATTTGAAGAGTTGGTTTGTTTGATCATATTGGTTGCAGAGATTGTTTAGTATAGATACTCAATGAGATTTTTGGCGAACTGCTTATGAACGTTGGTTTTCAGGCTCGACTTACCAAGAATCGTGCGGAACTCATTTTGGCTCGTTAGTGGGGTCGGTGGTGTTTCGAGTGGAGAACGCTGTTTGGAACTGTGATACTGGTACGATTAGGGGGACCGCTTTTATAGGTGGTTCAGCCGAGATCCATATACTCCCACTACCCGAGGAATGGCGACGCGAACGGTGGTTGCGAGGCACGATGCGACAGAAACGCGCTTCGGAATACCAAATCGGTCTTGTTCGTTTTGTACTAGGACGCCCGGGTTCGTTACTTTCATTCGGCTCTAAGGTCGAAGCTAGTTCCTTTGTTGCATACCGGCGTCTGTCCTTCCAAGGTAGAGATTGATGGCTGGCACAGGTATATACTAACGGCGAAATTAATGAACGACGTCTAGGTTCTCCTGTAACTGTCTGCACGTTGTATAGATGGAATTATTAGTATTGTTTCATTGTAGGCAACGGAACGGTCAGAACCATGGAATGGGGCAACAGTAATGGATGCGCGAGCAAAGGAGTATTCTAGGAACCAAGACTGAAATAATCGAAGGATCCAGAGGGATGCAAGGACTAGTTCCAGGCAAGTAGTTCCTTTAACCCCTTGTCCTATGTACAGTGGCGTTTAAAAGTCAGATCGTTTTTGGAATTGAACCCATGCCACATGATCTGTGTTACATTTCCATTTTACGGTGGCAATTACAAAAATGGTAATAATAAAAAATATGTCCAATTCGCTAAGAACGTAGTTGCCACAATTCATATATCCAACGTATAACAGAAAATAAGAATGAATATAATATAAGTTGAAGATGGAAAATTCGTGTATAATTCTATAAATATTCATTTCTCGCGGTAAACATGAGTTTTATTTATAAATCACCCAGGTGTTCCATATTAGGAGCCATTTTTCAGATCGCCATTTGTCACTTTATTTACATTCTTCACCGTGGTTTGAAGGCATTTACATTTTAGCATTGTTACCGATCAGCGTACGAACGTTCATTAACACGTTGAGTGCCTCACGATTTTGCCGAGAAAAATATACAAAATGAAAATAATCTAATATCGAATTATATAATTGGAATGCGTTATTATTACAGGTTTATCTCTTGAATGTCAATACATTAGTATCACCAGTAATACAGAAAAGTCTCCAAATAATCATCCTTTAATCGAATAAATCATTGTAATTCGATGTGGTTGAGGTCACCGGCGACCATCATAGCAATCAGCGTGTTAATTTCCTCGTATTTCGTTGCAGGTTTCACCGAAAAAATTCTGCGTATCCCTCGTTTCGGCAGGCTAAGAAGTCAGGTGTTCCATGTTAGGTGCCGTTACCCTACATTTCAAATAATACTTCGTTTCTCCTGTTTCGTCCCCGAAGAAATGGCGGCTCATTGGTTTACTTCCTTCAAAAATGGATCGGTATCAGTAACTCGAGACGCTCGTCGTGTGACATAATCCCCGGCCGACAAGTACGCTCGTTTCACTTGATCCAGTAATACAGATTGGGTGCGGCTCGTTCACGTTCTAAATACGAAAAAACGAGCGTACATACGTTTTACGTCGGCGACGCCGGTTGTGACACCGCGGGTTTCGAAGATCGTTCCACGATCGTGACTCGAATCCGTGGCGGGCCGGAGAGCTCGACGCCGCGCGGCGCCTTGTCTATGGACTCTCTTCTGCTTTCGGCGCTAGGACTTTCCCTTCAGTGTCCGCCTCGCTCGCCTGTCCGGAAAAAACGACGCGTCAAATAACCCTGGGACGTTTTTGTTCGCCATGTCTGTAACCGCGTTTCACACGAGTTAGCCGAGTACCTACAATCTAAAACGAAGGAAGCAGTCATTACGCACTGACAAGGAGAGGGCTAGACATAAAAATCTGGTTTTGAATAAAACCCCATGCATGTTATAGTCTATATCTAGAAATGAAAAACCTTCATGGCTTTTTTGACGATGGTCTCCGTTTTTGAAAAACTGAGTTCTAAGTTATGTTATTATAATTGTTATTACAATAGGACGATTAGAAGCATACTACAACAAAGTGTCGTTCCATATTCCCATGATTGGAACTCTTTTTTCTCTGTTTTTGTTATTTGTAAATCTAGCTTTATCGATTGTAAGAAAATGAACCTTTAGTTTTGTTGATTATATTCAGTCTGTAAAACTAGTTCGATTTACATTGTGTTTGGAGTTGTTTTACACAATAATCTCAACAACTCGCTGGCACTACGTTTGAGAAAGTAAGATTGAAATTAATGGGACTGATACTTCCTTTATTACATAGTTATATTTGATGCGTCACTTTGAAGTCGCATATCTTGATCCCCGATGCTCGGAGAACTATGTGTACTTACTTCTTCTTATTATACTCATTCTCCGACTTTGTCAAACTGTGCTCCGTCTCCTCTTACCTCACCCGCCCCTTCAGTTCGTCGAAGACGTGAAAAGATATCGTCGGTGGACAGTAGTTACAATAACGACGAAACGAGATGATGACAATAGAGATGATGAAGAACAACGTTAGCGCAAGGTTCTACATTCGCTGCTTTTTTAGGTCCCGTGAACATGAAGACTCCGCTACTGCGAGTCTATTGACGCAAGTCCAGACAGAAGAACGCCAAAGGTCGCCGTAGCGTCACGGCCGAGCGTAGAACGGGTAGCACGGCGCGAAGCCCTCGGGGAACGAGCGCGAGCGGTCATCGATGAGACAGGTGCGCAGTGTCGATGAACCAGGAATGAAGAAACGCCAACGACCGAACATCCCCCGCGAAATTAGGGACCGACGAGTTTCCTAATGAACGGATTATCTCGTTCAGTTCGTTTAACGAAGCAGTTCAAGCATGAAAAGTCGCAAATGGAAGAGGCGGTAGCTGAAGTGTCAAAGGAAAGTTCTCGTTAATTGCACCACTGACCTTCGATTACGTACATCGTTCGTTCCTACGCTTTCTCCGCGAGCTTAATTGTTAATTTCGTCGCGTAAGTACGATTTCCTAACCGGCCGGCCGGTTTTCGAGCGCTCGGCCGGCCTCGACGCGGCGATCCTCGCTTGAACTTCGTTGCGATGATCGCTAGAAACGGTCGTTCCCGTTCGGAATGTGTACAGGAAAAAATCAGGGGTAATGAAAAGTAGAAATTCGAAGGAGACGCTCGTACATTCGCTCGTTACTTGACTCGCGATTGAAATTTCATGGAAAAACGGGTTCGGTCCCGGCGTTGAGCTCGTTTACGAGTCGTAGACCGGTCGGTTATGGTTCCGCGTGATCGTCCTTGTTTACCGGGGGATTCATCGCGAGCCTGTCAACGCGTTGACTTCCACGAGAATTTCGATAGATTCGTGTAGTATCACTTATTCATTCAACAAAGCCAGATGGGATCAGAATTACTTGTTAACCTGTTAATTTTGGAATTTAGTATAAAGATTTCTCGTTTCGCGCAGAATAAAATAAAAAATTGAAGTGTGTACTTGTCAGACGCAGGAAGAATGCAACTAGGTTATACTTTAATAAAAAACCAAAGCGAAACAAAGAATTACGTGTTTATCTGAAAAAATAGAGAATTGGTTGAAAGAGTTATTATTCCAAGCTTTAAGATGACGTATAATCGTTAAAAGTAATTACCTTAATCATTTGGTATCATAGCTTCTAAGTCGTACTATTATGTTATAGCAAATGTAACTAAATATTTCGGTTCCACGTCAGTTTTCGTTTTTGTTTTCAAGTAATTTGAGAACTCTAATTATTGGTGACCACCGCGGCGGTCAACCTGTTAACGCCGGTGTCGCGTGAGAAATCCCGAAATTCCGCGGCGGTTCACACAACGCGTGGCTGATGCAATGAGACTGAAACGAATCACGCCTGTCACCGTTGCAACCGTCGATGCCCTACACGCGTAACGTTTTCCGCGACGTAACGAACGACGCGATGCTTTTATTAACCCGTTTGCATCACACAGGCTTACGAATAATATGCTATTATAACCAAATTTCTCCTTCATTAAATCCGCGCGCGTACGACACAAATAACCCGTGTACGATACAAAATAGCTCGATGACCACCGTGTTTACGGATATTCATTGTAACTATAGATCATCCTATTGTTTCGACATTGGTGATTAGAAGTTTAAGCATAGACGATTAGGATATGTGTTTCTGTAACCGCGTCAATCGAAATCAGATCAAACATTTATCAAATAACGCGTGAAAGATATGCATCGAATCGACGCGTTAAGTCGAGGTATATTTGTGATGCCATTTTGTATCTCGCGTAAAGAAAATTCAATTGCTTTCGCTTGTGTTTGCATTTAACACTAGAACTACCGAGCATCTAAAACGATTTATATGTAATCCCTAGAAAAATTGTAACAATAGATTATTCTCAGTTTCTGCAGACATTTATTATAGTATTCAAGTGAAACTCTTTCCAAATCATTTTGAATATTCAATGCTTTGAAGATATGAATCATTGCGAAACAAAAAAAACCGAAACCAGTCATTTTCTCTGGCACGGTAGTCCTACTGTCAAACTCGTAATACATAGTGGCACGTGTAAGAAGTGGGCGAGATGTTTTCCTCGAATTCCATTTGCACTTTACGAAGAAATTGGATTTTATAGAATACTGCGACTATGAAGATTGCCATTGAAACAATCGTCGTTCGCGAACGCGTTAAGTTGATAAGACGCTCGCCCCACGCAAGACTTTGTTTCCGAGAGAACGAAGTAATAAACTTGGATCCTCGTTTATCAGTTATCCGGATATATTACTCCACGTCCTTCGCAAAATCTAATGTACAATCTGCGATCGAATTGTTTACGTTCGCCCACGTTCGCCGAAAGACGACCACGAGCCAGTCATGTTTACGCTTCCGTTTTTAATTCGATGAAACAGCGAAGCCCTGATCCGAAACAGTTTCACGGTACAGGTTCAATTTTACCTTTCCCGGATAGCCGGTGTTACGGCGACGTTGTTACATAGGCGTCGCGCTAATGATTATAATCGAACGAATCGAGCACGTCGGATCGATTCGTCGTTAACGTAACGAAGGGTCGAACGAGAGTGTTCTCCGGCGAGGATCGCGGTGCGAAAGAAACAACGTTGTCTGTCTAGAGTTGTAGTTTATTCAACGGTAACGAAGAACAGGGGAGAACAGAGATAAACAGGAGAGCCAAATGCGCAGGAAGAATTGTCGTTTAAGGCAGAATGTAGGGAGCGTAGGGCAGCGGCGCGGCTGCAGCCGCGAGCGTGTACGGTGCAGCGGGCGCTGCGGCGAAAGTGAGCGGCGCGGCCGGTACAGCTGCAGGTACCGCGGCGTGCACAGCCGCGAGCGGAGCGGCGGCGAAGGTGTTGTAGTTCCTGGCGACGACCTGGCTGCTCCTGGCAGTTACTATTGGTGCTGGGATCGCGGCGAGCGGTGCCGATGCCAGTGGCGCTGGGGCTGCTACGAATGGAGCCGCTGGTATCAAACCGGCGGACGCCATGGCGACCACTGAGAGGACGATGCACTGGAAAATTCAACGAAATGCGATTAACCCCTTACCCCGTGATTCATTTCTTAACTATGAGCGATAGAACTACTTTATCATTAATAATTTATTAGGAACAGAATGAATTTTTACTTGCATGTTCTGTGTCTATGTTTACCCCAAAGGTTAACGATTGATAAAAGAAAAGTAGTATTTAGTTTATATTCAAAGAAAGTTAATAACACTTAGATTTCTCTAATTCAGTTTAAAATTTTCAAGCGGTTAACAAGAATCGGACTGGAACTTTTAATGTTTAACACGTTGACTGCACGGTGGTCACTGATGACCGGAGCTTATAAAGTACTTGAAAACAAGTACAATAAGAAAATCGACGTCGAATAAAAATGTTTAGTAATATAAGCTAGATGATAGTGTAATATGAGTAAATCATTGATAATTATTTGTAGTACGATTTGCCTTTGTTATGGAAGAATAAGTATTACTATAGAAATCGTATGGCGAGGGGTTAATCTAGAAGAGGAAATTCAATTATGCGTAAAGTAGTATCGAAAATACAGGAAAGTAATTCGTGCAGATTTTAATATCGCAATTGTGTTTAATGTATCCGTGATTGGTAGTGAGACTATCGATTGAAACAAGAGTTAAAGATGAATGTTTAAGAAGATTTAGCTGACGTCCACGGAACGTGGTACACGCTTTAACTTTCCGACTAGTAACTGTTTAGTAGTTTTCAAGAGGAAAGATTGACACGCGAATGGTTCACGAGGAAAGTGTCACAGCTGCGATTCGTTTGGAGAACTAGAGACCCAAAGTTTTCTTATTCTTATCCTAAGACAGAAGAACTTTGTTACCCCGCAAGAATCGCTGCCGCGTTTCCCCGCAGACCGTTCGTGTACGTTCAGCCTTAGGAGAACCGTAAAAACTAAAGGTAATCTATTGCAGGTCTGATGACAATCGCTGCCGACTTACCGCTAACTTGAACATGTTGGAGCTTGGGTGATCGAATCGGAAACTCTGCGACGAGTGAAGAGTCGTCGAAGCGTCCTCACTTTATACCGATGTCCACCGCTCTTGGCGCACCACTTACGAAAATTTCGAAGCATGGAGCGGCGCGGAGCGGCGTGGAGCGGTGTGGAGCGGCTCGGCGCGGCTTGCGAAAGCCTCGACCTCCGCACGTATTGCCTCCTCGGTTGTCCCGTATCGATTTCGTTGGTCGCGCCTCGCATTGAAATGCTAGCCGCGGAACCGCGTGTTTTCGCGCGCGGTCCCGCTTCGATTCCGCCATAGGCCGGCCACGCGCGTTTGTCAGCCCGGTCTCGGGGCGAGATCGATCGGGTGATCGATTTCGATGACCTTGATCGCAGGAAGAGGGTCGCGCGCGTCCACCCAGCGGACGCGTCCGCGAGTATGCTGGGGAATTATGTAAGCAACTATCCCCCGAGAAATTGTATAACACCCTCGACTATGCGTCCGTTCATCTGTCCGACCGATTGGAAAGCGTAACAAGGTTATAACTTCGCTCGCTGGATTACGCGGACCGTCTCGCTACCCACACGATCCACCTGCGATTACTTTTCATCCATTTCGCGCTTCCTTTTGTCTCTGTTCGTCGTTTTGCATAGTCTCGCGATCTTCCGTACTTGGATTTCTGGAGATTTTCTTCGACAATCCTATCGCGATATCGATTTTTCGACGATTCGTTGGCCTATTCGACGATTCTTTTATAATCCTTGGTACCTAGACTTCTATAGATATTTTAGACAGTCTTTTTATAATCTTTGGTACCAAGACTTCTACAGATTGTTTCGATAATCATTTCATAATCCTTGGTACCTAGACTTCTATAGATATTTTAGACAATTTTTTTACAATCCTTGGTACCTAGACTTCCATAGATATTTTAGACAATTTTTTTACAATCTTTGGTACCTAGACTTCTATAGATTTTTTCGATGATCGTTTTACAATCTTTGGTGCCTAGACTTCTATAGATTTTTTCGACAATCGTTTAATAATCTTTGGTACCAAGAGTTCTATAGACTTTTTGCACAATCGTTTTACAATCTTTGGTACCAAGACTTGTATAGATTTTTTACACAGTCGTTTTATAATCTTTGTTGCCTAGACTTCTACAGATCCTGTTGACAATCATTTCGTCATCTATGATCGCTCGATTTTCCGATGATTCACGGACATTCTCGACGATTCCGTTTCGATCGGTTTGGTCACGGTTGTTTCGGTCCCGCGGTCGCTGATTCGTAGCTCTCCTCTCTCGCCGTCTCTGTTTATCTCTGTTCGTCCACCGGTCGCGCTCGCGTGCTCGCTCCCTCGCGCCTCTTCCGCAAGGCCGGGCAACTTCAAGGCGAAGCACCCGGTTTTTTCTCAAGTTCAAGTTCGTCGAGTCCAGAACGGGAGAACGCGAGCGTTTCTTCCACCATGGGTGTGCCTCGCGCTTTTTGTTCAGGGGTAATTCTATCCTTTGGATGTCCACGCGGGGATCCAGCGTTCTTTCACCCGTCGAATAGCGTGCGTTCGCTCGTCGGTTAGAGGATCCGTAACAGTTGAAACAGTTTAGATAAAAATGACCTCGATCAACGTCATTTCAACGTCGCATTCGACTTCTGAGCAGCCGCATCATCGAATCTTTATATTTTTAGAACCCACTTACAAATCGAAATATAACACAGCGATCGGGACGTTCAAAATTCTTCCACGTGAAATTAGAACAAAGAAACTTAGAAACTAGAAAATCAGACATAACCAGACTCTGTTCGAGCAGAAACGAATCAAGGATCGCGCTGTTCAATGCTCACCAACTAAATTTCCACGAGGACCCGTGGATCGCTCGAACGGTTAAGACGTCGAGCGATTCGATACGGGGCTGATCGCGAAGCGCCGAAGGCGTTCTCGGCCTCGCAAGCACACCGCATTCGCTCGAGCGTCGCGCGGCCCTTGTTCGATCCTTGTAAGGACCGACTCGGGGAAAAGTCGCGGAAAAATCCAGGCGAGTCCGAGGACAAGGTTTTTCCTCGATTGCGCCGCGAAGACAAAGGACAAAGGACAAGGGAAGTTGAACGTTCTCCGCGAGAACCGTAGAAGCCTCGCGACTCCCCTCGCGCGCTAGCACCGTTTTTTCGAAAACGCGCAAGGACGTCGGCCGACGCGGTCGCGGAAAGGGGAAAACCAGTTTGCGATTTGCGGGGAAAAAAACTCGCTCGAAAGGCGGATGCGGGGAAATAATAGAAAAAAAAGAGGAAAGCTGGAGATGGAAGATGAAGCGGCGGGGAAAGAAGAAATGGAAATCGCCATTGTCGGACCACGCCTGGCACCCGGGGGAGGCGCGACCTTGGAGGAATCCGTGGTTTCTGAGCACCCGCCGGTGCACCGACGGGCGAAACCTTTCCCAGCGTGGCCGACGAAGGGAGACGTCGATTGGTCAGACGGGCGCGAAAAAATCGTGCGAGCAACAAGAACCCCGCGCGGAGACTATCTCGCTCGTAGGTACCGAGGCTGCCGGCTACGAGGACTGGCTGTTGCCCTTCGCGGAACGATGAAAACGGGTAAAAAGAACGATCTCTCCCCCTTTCCTCGTGGAAACAGGGGAAACAGGCGGGGGCAGGGAGATGTGGCGAGATGAGAATCCTCTTGGTTCGCCTATATAAACCGGGGATCCTCGAGATTTCGAGTATGATCGTTTCGACTCGCTTGTCGTGCATCCGTTAAAACCGCAGGTAGCCACCATGTTCAAGACGGTGAGTACAAGATAGACACGGTAGACGAAATCTACTACGTCCGAGTAGTATCCAATAATATACGTAAGGCATGTAGAGGATTGACGGAGGACTCTTAAACTAATCGAATAATTTGTTTGCTTTCAAGGATAGTAACACTATGAGAAGTGTTGAACGTTTCCGGGTGCGAGCCTTGTTCGTTCAGAATTGCCTGACGTTTCGCTAATGCAGCTAGCATCAGCAGGTTCGAGGAGTCGACGAGTCTCGCGTCAAACCTGATAATAGCTGCGATGCTAGCGAAACGAGGAATAATTCTTAATGAACACGGCTTACGCCTGGAAACGTTGAACATTTTTAATAATCGAATAATTTCCAACACAGCTGTTGTTCGCCGGATTATTGGCGGTCGCCATTGCTGCTCCGGCACCCGGACCAAGCCCAGCTCCGATTCCAGCTCCGGCACCAGCCCCAGCACCCAGCAGCCTGATCGGCTCACCGCTGATCGCCCCGCTGGGACCGACTCTCCTCTCCAGCATCGGCACGCCCGTCATCTACCCCAGCTACCCGACGCTTCCTCTTCCAGGCTACGTGCCGCCGCCGCTGTTCCTGAAGAACATCGTCTACTAAAATGGACCGGTCATCGTCGAACGACCGAGCCGCGAGCGAATCGCAGCCGAAACGAGTCGAAACGAGCCGATAACAACCTGAACCGAACCGAACAACCAATCAACAGATCGAGCCCATTTCTCTTCTGGAATAACTCGAGGAAAATCATTGATCACGCATGTCCTGTACCAGCCGCGACGCCATCATCCTTCATCTCCGATCTTCACCTACGCATGGAATTCTCTACTCTTTGAAATTCGGTGTGAATAAAACCGCTTGAAAGCAACGAACAACATCGTTTCCGTCTCGCTCGAATCACCGGGGACACCACCATCCTTCGATTCCGGCCGGAATCGTTTCGCAGCCGCGCGCTGATTAATGAGCGGCGATCGCCCCGGCCGCGGGGGAAACTCGTTACGCGATTCGTCGTCGCTTTATAAATCCGATTGCGTAAGCGCAGCGCGTAGGCGTGATCACACTTGCAACGATCGCCGGGCGCGCCCGCCCGCGCCTCGTGCATGCCTGCAAGTAAGATTGGACACCTGGCTAGGCTCTGTTCCCTCTCGCTATCGTTTCGCTACGTTCGACGCTGAACGCAACTTGATCGGTCGGAGGATCGTTTTTAAAATTTCATTTGAAATTCTGCGTCTTCGATCGTTTCACTTTACATCAATCCGGATAGATATATGCAACGCGGTGCGTTTAGTGTTAGCCGAGACACAGGTAGAGGCACACTCTTCACACTAAAACTACCGAGCGCTGAAATTGACTTTTTGAAACTTCTCTATAAAAACGTTAAGCGTCTATTGAGAATTGATCCGTGATTCAATTTGAATATTGCTAAATTAATTCCTTTAATAACTCTCGGAGAAGCGTCTGCTATTCCTTTAATCGCGTGAAGAAGAAATCTGGAATCATTTAGACTCGTTCAGTAGTTCTAGTGTTAAAGTCTCCACATACGTTGCTTCATACAGGTCAGAGACTTGTTTACTCTTCGTTTGAGCGCACGTATGGAACCTTGGGAGACCCAAACGCAGCGACGCCGTGTTTCAACGTGTGGCCTTTAGAGACCTCGACCCGAGTCGGAACGAAAGTCTTCCTTCCTGGCTTCAATTAGAAAGTGATCGATCAAAGGACGCCAGCTATCGAACGATCGACGATCTCTGGTATCTTCTCTCTATAGCTAAGTTAGTTTCTAAGACTGAAACAACCTATAACATTATAGAAAAAGGAAGAGATTCGAGGTTATATATACAAACAGGTAAAAGATTGAGCGGAAGCGAGAAAGGCTCTTCGATTAACCCTCTATCAAAGTATTAAAGCTACCGCCACGAGATCAACGATGTCGAATCGAGAGCAGATCGGAATAGCGACACCCACGTACCGCGGTAAGCCGTCGTCCTAGGTAACCGGAGCCGAAGGAAAAGTCCCCGGGTGTCCTGTGCCGTAGGTGTGTTGAATTTCGATCGGCTCGCGCGTATTCCGAGCGGCGTAAAATTAGGCGGTAGAAATCGGAAGGCCGGGTTCACCGTTCGACCGAGCGACTCGAAATCCCCGGCGCGTTGTATTATTCATGGGGATCGGGTGAATCGATCAGCAACGGAAAGCGCCGCGCCGGGCGTCGTCGAAAGGTTAGAGGACTCGGCGGATGGACCGGTGCGCTTCTCTCCGCGTACCGTTACGGGCCGCTTTTGTTCCCACGAATGACGAGTTAATTGTGCAA